ATATTATATATTAATATTTTTCGCATTTTGCGTCTGGAACTTTGCAGGAGGCACTCAGGTAAGCAGCAAACAAACGGAGGTGGAAAACTCACTCTGAAGCTGCTCCAGCTGTCACAACACTTCACCAACAACTCTGATCGCCATCAGCGCATCCCGATCATAAACACGGGCAGCGGAAATGACAAAGTTTTTATCCAGACTAATAAAAGCTAAATAATAATACAAAAATAAAAGCARAGAAGATATGRGCAAGGGGGTAAAGCAGGCAAAGCCATTCACAGGCGCCATCTGGCCCCGCCTTGATGTAAAAGTATCAGCTTCAACAGGTTGATGTTGGTTTCCACACCCTTTGAGGACTTCGTTTCCCTCGATCACAACCGACACCTCTGCTGGATCCTCCTCGGCTGTAGGATCATGGATCATCACGAGCACCTTCGTGGTTTGGTCCATGTGGTCCTCCTGTTCGTCCTTCATGTGAAGAGTGAAAAAACAAAAAGCAGGGGCAACTTTAAAAGTATAGTATATAAATAACAACTTCTGACATAGTTCAGTTTCTTGGTCAACACACTGATTTTTGTGTAGTGTGAAATGGCAGGAAAAGGAGTTAAAAGGAGAGGACAAGAAAGAAGAGAAAAGGTGAACATCTAGAGTTGATCAGTCATTTCATAACATACCTGGCAGTCACGGAAAAGCTCTTCTTGGTTTCCCCCCAGGTACTCACAAGACCACCAATGACAGCATCCCTTTATTCTCAACACTGTGGGACCGAAGAAAAATGAAACAAGTTTAGTCAAATGAAAGTTGCCTCAAGGGTTAAGGGAAAACATGTACAGTTTAAGTCAAAAGTGTTTATACAATCAGATTTCAGCAAATGTAAATAGTTTTGAATATCTCACTGTCTTCTTGTTAAAACTAATTTAGCAAGAAGGTGGGTACCTATCTTTACTGGATGACAGTAGATTTCCAACAAATTCAACCACAGGGGCAGAATCCACAGTGCATCCAAAACGAATTCACAGCACTTCACTTGTTCCCACATTTTGTTTATATATATTAAAATATGTCTAATTTTGAACAAAGAGATTAATTTATTACAATTTGGAATCAGGTTGTTATATAACAAAATGTGGAYAAGGTGAAGCACTGTGAATACTTTCTGTATGCATTGTAGCATATTTAATTGATTAGGCTTAAGGTAACAAATAAACAGAGGAGCTGTAACATTACAGGCTTATAAATAATAGTCATTTGACTCCTGAATTTCACTTCTTGTTTAAAAGGTGGTCAAGTGTTATGTAATCTTCTTACTGAAAGAAGGTGAATTAAAAGCAGAATGTCTGTATTCAAGTACTGATTTTTTTTTCTTGTGATATGCACAAAGTACAGGGGTCGGATTTATAAAACTGGCGTACGCACAATTTGAGCCCAGAAACTTGCGTACGCCACTTTTTACGCTAAGGTTGTGATTTATAAAATCCAAACTTGACGTAAAAATGTGCGGTGCCTCACGTGAGGCA